GTAGCTCCTCATATGGAGCGCCAGTTCTCTTCGTACGGAAGAAGAACAAGGATCTATGATTGTGCATCGACTACCGCAAGCTCAACGCACAAACCGTTAAGAATGTGGGGCCTCTTCCTCGTATTGATGATCTCCTTGAGCGATTGGGTGGCGCGAAGTACTTTTCTAAGTTGGATCTGAAATCAGGATACCATCAGATTTCGATCCGGCCGAACGATCGCTATTAATCCGCGTTCAAGACACGGTACAAGCATTTTGAGTGGGTGGTCATGCCTTTTGGCCTCACCAATGCCCCGACGACCTTTCAAGCGGCAATGACCAACGAGTTTCGTGCGATGTTGGACCGGTTCGTGCTGGTCTACTTAGACGACATTCTCACCTATAGCCGGACATTGGAGGATCATCTTGAGCACCTTCGATGAGTGTTGGAGACGCTCCGCCGCGCCAAGTACAAAGCCAACCGCAACAAGTGCGAATTTGTCCGGCAAGAGTTGGAATACTTGGGCCATTTTGTCACACCGAAGGGCATCAGCCCGTTGTCGAACAAGATTAAAGCCATCCAAGAGTGGCCGGAGCCGCAGAACGTCACAGATGTCTATTCATTCCTCGGCCTTTCTTGGCTACTACCAACGTTTTATCAACGGATACTCGAAGATCGCGGCCCACTTGACCAAGCTTCAATGCGAGGATCAGTTGTTCGACTTCGGGGAGGATGCGCGAGAATCATTCTTGGCTCGCAAAGCTGCATTATTATTCGCGGAGGTCTTGTGAATCTACGACCCGCTATTGCCAATGTGCCTCACTACGGATGCGTCCGGCTATGGCATTGGTGTCGTCCTCGAACAACACGATGGCGTGGACCGGCACCCAATCAAGTACTTCAGCAAGAAAGTGCCCGTCGTGCACTCCATTGATGATGCACTTAAGGAGTTCCTCCTAGCCTTCGTCCACGCGCTCAAGCGGTGGCGGCACTTCCTCCTTGGTTGAAGTCAATTCCGATGGGTAACGGACAACAATCCGTTGGTCTTCTACAAGACCCGAGACACCGTCAATAGCACCATCGCCCGTTGAATGGCTTTCATCGGCCAATTGGACTTCTTTCCGGATCACATTCCGGGGAAGTCTAACCGTTTTGCGGATGCTCTTTCACGACGTCCAGATCATTGTACCGGAGTCTATTCGACCTTCGAGATCGACGACCATCTGCAGGACAATTCCATCCGCGGCTACCAAGCGGACCCCGAGTTTCTCGACAAGTACGAGAATTGCTCCTCTCCTAATCCGGCACCTTCTCACTACCCGATCCAAGAGGGGTACTTGCTTGTCCACACGTGGGGGAAGGACCTTCTTTGAGTACCGAGTGACTCTCACTTGCGTACACGGCTTCTTGGCTAGTTCCACGATGCTCTCGCCATAGGACACTTTGGTGTCAATCGAACGATTGGCCGACTTCATGAGCGCTTTTGGTGGCCCTGCCTTCTCGGCAACGTCACACGCTATTGCAAGTCATGCGAGGTTTGCCGACGCTGCAAATCCTGCAACCATCGTCTGTACGGCGAGTTGCGACCATTACCGGTCCCCTTGCATCGGAGGGAAGCGATTGCCATGGACATTACCGTGCCGTTCCCCAAGCACAAGACCGGTGTGGATGGGATTCTCACAGTGGTTAACTGACTCACCGAGTTCGCCATGTTTTTGCCTTGCCGCTATCATGCGAAGGCACCGGAGTTGGTCGAGGTTCTTTACGGTGGTTGGATTCGAACCAAGGGTTACTTCAAAGAAATCGCCTACGACCTCAACACTCGGCATCCTCAACACTCGGCATCAAATGATGGGGCTCATCTCTCAAGCCAAGTTCGGCTCGCCACCCCCAAACCGATGGCCAATCGGAGGGGGCGCATCGGACCGCACAGGTTGTCCTTCGCACTCTCATCCGTCCCGACCAAAAGGATAGGGTTGAGCGGCTATCGGATGTCGAGTTGGCATACAACTCGTCCATCCACCCGGCTATCGGGATGTCGCCCTTCGAGTTCGAGCATGGCTCACCGGTCACTTCTCCGTTGGACACAATCATTCGAGGAGAGGCCGAGAGCGACGACCATCTTCTTTTCTTGCGTCGGATGCAAAAACTACTTGTCAAGGCACGCGACCAGATGGCTAAGACGCAGCAACGCATGAGCCAACAGGCCAATCGACAGCGTCTTCCTTGTCCATTCCGCGTCGGTGACCTCGTCTGGGTTTCCGCCGCGGAGTTCAGCCCCGAACAAGATATCTCGCGCAAGCTCCTCCCGAAATGGATGGAACCCTGGCCGATCGTGGCATCCGTTGGGGATGCACCAAAGGACTTTCCTTCATCATTTCGGTGCCCGCCCACTTGCCCGTCTACCCGGTCTTTCATTGCTCCAAGTTGGCTCTTTACACGCCAGCGGAACATGACGATTTTCCCGGGAGACGACCGCAAGACCCACCCTCGATGGACAGTTTTCAACAGGTCGGCGACATCATCTCCTAGCGACGCTACGGCAACAGACCGACTGAATACTTGGTACACTTTGCATACTGCACCCACAAAGCTGACCGTTAGTCAACCCGTGCGGAACTTCAACCAACAGCTCCAGATGTTCTCGCACGCTATGAACGCAAGATGCAAGGCAATCCGGTATCTTCGGCTCCACACCGCACCCGCGTCCAGGTTCCACCTTCAGATCGTCTACTTCGCCCTCGACCCGGCTTGACTTCATAAGGAGGGGGAGCTATTACATGCTGCGCCTGCAAACGAGGGCCATTTTCAGGCCCTGGTTCGTTTCAGCCTGAAAGCCTGAAAACAAGGGCCTACAGGCCCTGTGTCGTTTCAGCCTAAAACAGGGCCCTCCAGGCCCTGAGTCTTTTTAGCCTGAAACGGAGGGCCATTTTCAGGCCTTCATAAGATCGACCTGCCCTGAAACTTAGGCACCAGACCAGGGTTTTAGCACAGGCCATTTTGGGCCTGTTTTCAAGACAACCTTTGTTTGAACTTCAACGCCAGGGTCTGGCACATTTTGGCATTGGCAAGAGCAGCCTCCTGGACGGGCCAGCACTATATAAGACTGGCCCACCCTGCAGGCTGAAGGTAGTTCCTAGGGACTTCTCAGGCACTTCACGTGCAGCTCAGGAGGCAGGAGGTAGTCTTCAGGATTCGGCAGCAGCACTCTGGAGGAGCGCTGCTGTGGTAGTAGTAGTACCGTTAGCAGCAGTTCTCAGCGCTGGGCGCTATTAGGAGCTAGAGTACTACTGGAGAGAGATAGAGATTGGGCGGAGGCTCCAGCTCGTCGTCGAGGTACCTACAGCACAGTGCCATCTTCACAGGTTAGTACCTGGCACCTGAGAGAGAGAGAGAGAGAGAGAGAGAGAGAGAGAGAGAGAGAGAGAGAGAGAGAGAGAGAGAGAGAGAGTCCTTCGTCTTCCTCTTCTCAGTCCACCATCTCCCCCTCACCCTCTCGCTACCTGACTTCACTACATCAGCAGACTGCAAGACCATTTGGATCCAGACTCGACATTGGGCTTCAGATATTTGACGAGGGATTATCTGGGACTTGTACCAAAGACTTGGTGTTGACGACATTCCCATCTTCCCCCTCTTCTTCGTCTGATCCCCTCCTCTTCGTCTGTGTATTGTCTAGACCTGGCGCATTCTTCCTGTGTGTAGCGCCAGGCCCCTTCACACCTTGTGATGAGGATGATGTATGTGTGGTCTGCATTGCGACATTGATAGGGCTAGTCATTGGTATTCTAGCATTCCGCTGCGCTGTCTTGTGCTACGTGAGAGAGGTCAGTCCCGGTCAGGTCAGGGCTTATATCTAAAGTTTTCCACTGCGCTACAAGGTGCCATTTCGTATGTATCAGGGTGTACATTGCTTGTTGAGATTCCACTAAACACCGCATTGTCCATTCACTCCTTTTTATCACATTGGGGATCCTTGGCTATACATACATTGCCCAACTGGGCATTGAACAGCGAGTGACCATAACCGCTAGTGAGGTGGAAGACGACAGCAACCATAGCCGCCAGTGTGACAAAGTCAGCAGTTAGTGTGTGTATGTGTGTGTGTGCATAGACATTCAGGGTAGATCCTAGTGCATGTGTATGTGCATGTGAGTGTGAGTGTCTGATGGTGGATACAGTGTTCAGGTGGGAATTTCAGGCGCCCAGACGCCATAGCCGCAAGATGTGACGAGTTGACTTGAGCTGAGATCCTGGCCGAAGGCCATATCTCTGAGTTTTCTGTGTGGGCACACTGCGCCATCTCACTCTTGTTGCTGATTCTACTTTGAGGAAGTTGTTTTGCCATCGGCACCTGCATGTATGCATGTCGGAAGTCAAAGCGAGACAATTCTGATTGCAGAGGGAGGGCCACGAGAAGCAAACGAGGTGTCATACACCGCAGATCCCGAATACAGCCTGCGTACATTGTCTTTGAATGTTCTATTCGGAAAGAAAAACAGCAATTTCTGAAAACTTGTTTTCAGAAGTAAGTCGAATAGAACACAGAAGAGTTGAGAAGGTAATGTTCCCTATACATACCTCCACACAAGAGGCATTACTGTGCATCACTGTTTTGTCCCACCTTCACCGATTCGTCAGGAGGTTGAACCTCAACAGTCGACAGTCTAACCACAATGCATTTCACTGATGGATAAGAACTCGCCATGTCGTTCAGAGTTCGTTGTACCCTAGGGTCTAGACAAAAGTGGTTGACTTGACTCGCGTCAACCATGCAACTTGGTCCACTACATGAAAAGTGGCTAGCCTTGCACCACTCAAATTTGCAGCACTGCTGTGGCCATTTCTGCCAAAAAAAATCACAATCATTTCAAGATATCATGGAAAGATGTTTCAGACTTTCAGTTGTGATTTCTATTGACATGGGTGGAGAAGAGGTTGCTGTGATGATAATCTAGCGCACACAGGTGGAGAGGGGTTGGAACTGCTATAGGATGTAAACTGTTCTTACACTGCTCACCTTGCTGATGGCCCTGTCTTCATCCCCAGTGTGGTAGGAAAACTGGAATTTCCATCTATGCATAAGAAGTTGTTGTACCTGCATCACCATTATGTTCAAGGCAGGAGTTAATCTCTCTCGGAAATACCCCTCACGGGCTCGAAGCAGGGAGCCAGATGCTCGATCCATTGCTCCGTCATAGCACTCAACAAGATTCTCCAAGGTTGTTTGGGTTCGTTCCTCAAAATTCGAGTCAGTCAGCATTCCGTTTTTTTCCTTTTTTTTCTTTTTGGGGGGTGCATAGGGACCCAGCTCCATATCCATCTGGGGAGCATTGGTCCGGTTCCTTAGTATTGTCTGTATATCTAGATGACAAGGTGGAAATACCCCTCACGGGCTCGAAGCACAGAGGCAGATGCTCGATCCATTGCTCCGCCGTAGCACTGAGCAGAATTTAAGTGTTAAAAAACTTGGCAAGGACAAGACTATCCAAGGTTGTTTGGGTTCGTTGCAACCTCAAAATTCGAGTCAGTCAACATGTCGATTTTTTGATTTTTTTTCTTTTTGGGGGGTGCATAGGGCCCCAGCTCCATATCCATCTGGGGAGAATTGGTCCGGTTACGTAGTATTTTCTGTATATCTAGATGACAAGGTGGGTCAACTCTTCACTGTAATCGTATTACCACTACCAGGCAATTTCAGAAAGAATTGCAGAAATAATTTTCTAATTTTGTCCCTTCCTCTGTTCTTTGGACCATTTCTCAATTGACGCGTCTCATCCTTGCACAGGGGCCATGCTAATCTTCTCTGCCTCGCTCCAATTTTACGCATGTATCGAAGGGCCGAGTCCAGCATGAATAAATCATGGCATCACAACCCAGCTCATGTTCCTGAATGGTACGCAGTACTACACACACGTCGCTGTCAGTAAACATCTCATGAGTTCGACTCCTGAGGGAATCAACTTGATACCGCTATGTTAGGAACTACCTCCTGCAAAAACGAAGTGCAGCATCATAGGCCACAAACAGAGTTGCAGAACCACCAAACATTTCTTTCTTTTCCTTTTGTTTTTCAGTAACATCTGACTTACCCTGTGACACGCCCGCAGCCATCAGCTGTGCACGAGGGATCATTTGCTCCACATGAGCTGCAGAATCCGACAGCGAAGCCATCATACGTACACAAGTGACCCTGCAAAGATGGATTCCAAGAAAGTGAGTGCAACTCCGACAACAATCACTTGCCAATGTGTTTCAGAGCCTTTACCACTTTAAACAATAACAGACCGAAATGAGAACACAAGCAAGAGTTGATGAACTTGATGGAGAGTCCACAAACTTCAGTTTCAGAATGTAGCTGTGCTATGCGCATACGGAATCCTCCCCAAATGCAGCACATACACACCCCAAGTAAGTGAGGGCGAGATTCCGGTGAATCCAATCCTTCCCTCTGTGAATCTGTTTTGTGGCTTACAACTAGAATGAACTCGGAAAAAGAAAGCAAGCAAAGTAGCATTCAATAATTTCACTTCACATTTAAAGCATGGCAACCGGCCGGACGTCTGGACCGGAATCCAGACGGTCTGGTTGTCTGGGTAATGGTCCGGTGTCTGGTCCGGTAGGTCTGGATTGGGCCCAATTTTGAAAAAATCGATTTTTTTTTTCGGGGGGCCTAGGACATTTTTCGGGTCCTATGCCACCCCCCAAAAATGCCCCTGGTATTTTTTTGCCGTTTCAGGGCCTACCGGACGTCGCCAGACACTACCAACAGCTCCCTCTGCTGTTGTTCTACGCTGGTAGTTCATTGGATGAGGATGAGTCTGATTCCAAAAATAAAGCACTGGCTGCAAAGCACCACAGAACATCAAGCTAGAGAGAGAGAGAGAGAGAGAGAGAGAGAGAGAGAGAGAGAGAGAGATGATTTTGGTCAGATCTGAGATCCCGTCTTAGATCTGGTCCTGACCAGATCTCAGATCTGTTCTTAGTACATCTTACGTAGATCTGAATAACTTAACAGTTTTAATTTTCAGTTTTCAGATGAATATGAATTAGCAAGTCTAACTTCAAAGTTCAAAGTTCTGTTTTTCTCTGATTTTCGTACTCTTTTCTGAAGTTACTTGGGATTGGTCTGTTGAGAACTGGTTTCAACTTTCTAGTGTTGTGTGAGCCTTTGTGAATGACTCTGACACTGTGACAGTATGAAGCTGTCAAGTTGTGAATAGTGAAAGACAGTAAGCTGTGTTTAGTACTGCTTACTACTAATGTTTTTTGTTTTTTTTTTTTTTTTTTTTTTTTTCCCGGTCCGGACATTTTTTGTGTCTGGTGTGCCGGTCCGGACGGTCCGGGTCCGGTCATGTCCGGTTGTCCGGTGCCTGTCCGGATTACCGGACGTCTGGACCAGTCCAGACAAATGTCTGGGCCTCGGTCCAGACATGTCCGGGTCCGGGTCCGCGGTTGCCATGATTTAAAGTGCACAATACGTGTCGAACATCCACACGTGCACATCTGCTGAACATCCACACGTGCACATGTGCCAAACATCCACATGTGCACATGTGCTGAACATCCACACGTGCAGCTCACTACACACATCAGACTTGTGTCCTGCACACCATCGAGAAACGTCTACACAAGATGTGCAACTTGTCATCAAGAGGTTTTCCAAGAGCTTATAGAAGCCACCCAAAGAACACAACAAGATTTCTCTCTGGAGTCTGGAACATACAAAATGGCGCAAGTGAGTGTACATCTATCGGAAGAGGCATGAGGCATGGTGAGGGTGAATGGAAATATGTCCGAAGAGGCATGGGCATGGTCCAGATGCATGGACATCTAATCTGAAAAGATGAAAAATGACCACGTCAGCACGGCAAGGAGCCCTGAATTCCTTTTGTGATGGAGGCAATAGCAGCCTTTGTAAGAAAGGACCCATTAATAGACAGACATACAATCTGTCAGACGAGGCATGAGGCACAGTCCGGGTGGATCAACATCGATCAGAAACATACAAAATGACCAACATCGGTGTGACAATGATGGAGGTGAAAGGATTTCATGCTGTACCAGAGTACCAGGCCCCAGTCCCGAGTCCCACATCCCAGTCCCGAGTCCCAGGTCCCAGTCCCAGTCCCAAGTCCCAAGTCCCAAGTCCCACGTTCCAGTCCTGAGTCCCAGGTCCCAGTCCCAAGTCCCAGGTCCCAGTCCTGAGTCCCAGGTTCTAGACCCAAATCCCATTCCTGTGTCCTATTAGTGGTTCCAGCCACTTGTACAAGGTGCATGAATACTCTAGAAGAGTAGTTTTCGTTTGTAACATTGCAGAGGCCTAGGCGAGCTAGTTAAGTAGATCGTGATAGGAAGTCCCTGGTAGATAACAGTTATGGGTTTGAATTGTCTGTCTTTAGGAGGCACCACAACTTCAGCCAGGATCACAAGAGCCGCTAGGACAGGTGTCAGTCATCCCCGCCCAACCCAAGAAAGTCCGTGAGCTTCCAGAGGCAGAGAACAAAGGCAAGAGGGCTAACCCATAACCAACAGAAGATGTCTGGAAGCAGATCGGCAAATATAAAAGCTCTTCGGTCTTTAGGAGGCACCACAACTTCAGCCAGGATCACAAGAGCCGTTAGGCCAGGTGTCAGTCATTCCCGCAAACAGCCAACCCAAGAAAGTCTGTGAGCTTCCAGAAGCAGAGAACAAAGGCAAGAGGGGAAACCCATAACCAACCGAAGATGTCTGGAAGCAGATCAGCAAGTATAAAAGCTCAACAGCACCATCCAGCACGATCAACTATTCATGTCCAAATTGGGGAAGCGCTGCGGGTTGCTTGTGCGACAGTGCCACATGGATGAGAGGGGGCGCTAGAGGAGGAGCAAGTGCCCAGCGAGGAGACATCTGGTTACCATAGCTAGGGAGGAGGAAGAAGACGGCCATAGCCACAGAGGTTCGGAGAAGTACATCGCAGCTGTATCCAGGGTGGATCCATGAGGGAGAGGGAGAACATAAGCGTGACAGGGAGGTTGAGGGATACAAGACATGAGAGAGAGAGGTAGAGTCACACATGAGGGAGAGGGGAGAGCAGTTACATACCAGGCTCGTACTTGGTTGGTGTGGGGCAGGTGCCACTGGAGGGTACAAACAATATCTTTGTATAATACAATAATTTGGTGTGGATTTTTCTTTTCATCTCTCAGTGTCCAGTTTGACTTCTCACATGAATGTTCTACTGCGCATGGTGTGTGATTGCATGCTGATTGGGAGTTGAATCATCGCAGAGGCAATAGCAGATAAAAGAATCATGAAAGCGTAGAAAAGGGAAAGGCTAACAAGAAGGGAGAGCGACGAGATAACGGTCAAAAAAGCAAAAAACACACAAACGGTAAGAGGCAATAAGAGACTGGGCAGATCCAAGATCAAAGGGGAGGTTACAAGGGCGAAACCAAACACTGGTACCCGAAGATCAAAGATCAAAGGGAACGGACAACGGATCAACACCCTGCAGAAACTTACTTTCAATCTATGCTGGCCAGTTACCCCGGCCAGGTGGGCAAGAGGGGGCTTGGAAAACCAGGGGGGTCAAAAAAGAGGTGAGGATTGCAAAAAGCCAAAAACGACTTCAGGCCAGGACTGCACTTGCCCTAAGCAGTCGAAATCCGGCCTTACCTTACAAGTCAATCATGGGTCACCCAGGGGGGTTGGGGGGCTGTAAACAGTGACTAAAGGGGTTTAAAGGGGTATATCTAAACTCCTATTTTCTCTTCTATTTTCATCTTGAAATTAATAATAATGAAAAATTTGAGGGCCCCCTCAGCCACAGTCGTTTGTATTGCAATTTTACATGTTTTTTCTCCCCAAATTTTTTGATTTTTTTTTGTTTCTATTTTTTTGCTTAATATTACGTGCTGGGACTGTCTGGGACCCTGTCCGTATTCTGCCCCGCCCGGCCCATGGGGTGGGTATCCCAGCGATAAATCTCGATCCCAACCATTTACAAATCAAAACAGCATTTTCCGTGAGGCCGTTTTTAGACTGGAAGCTAATTCTCCACTTTAATCTTGCTCAGCTTGAAGCTCTTCATCCATAAGCATTTGCTTAAATTGCTTTGCTATTTCAGAGGCTCTGAGCATTACCCTTCTTGTTGGCATTCAACATGTCCTTCAGTCAAGGGTCTGAGAACTCATATTTTGATTTTATTTGTAAGGCTTTGTAAACCCTTTTACTTATGCTCAATGCCTTCACATTGTGCTCTCAACAGTGGCCGATGCAAGGAGTGAGCAATAGCAAAATGACAGAATTCTTGCAAAATCACACTAAAAGCCAGATAGTCGTAAGCACGGAAGGAGAACCAAAGCGGCGAACTCAATCGTCAATGAAAGCATGCTCTCACACTACTACTCTCCTACAAAATGACAAAGCAGAAAGTTGACATCAGCAGCAGCAAACGAAGCCCAGGTACATGCCCTCACATTTCCCCCTCTTCTGCTCAGCCCCGTCTTCTCCCCCACTACCTCAATAAACCTGAAGACCACCACCACCCCCACTGCCTGTCCAAGCTCAGCCCGGCTGTGGAGGGCTGAGCTATGGCGCTGCCTGCTTGCAGTGCCCTGCCCGGCTATGGAGGGCTGAGCTATGGCGCTGCCTGTTTGCAGCGCCCTGCTCCTAGCAACCGCGCTTGCTACCTCCAGCACCTGTGCCAGCATGCCGTGCGTGAGCAATTGCTCCAGCAGTGCCGCACACAAGTTTGTTCATCCAGTGGCCAGATCTTTCCTAAATCGAAAGTGCTCGCCAGCTTTGCTGCTGGACTAGGCTGCGCGTGTGCCCTCTAGATTTAAGTTGGGCCAAAGTGTCTGCGCCCAGGCCCATTCAGACAGTGGCCTGGGACCGAATTGGTTAGGCATGCCCAACCACCCAGGAGCAAATGTGCGGTGTTCCCTCCTTGTTGGAAGAGCCTAGAAGGCTCACAAATATTTCCAATTCTCACGAGCAGGGCGGATGTAACCAACTCGCGCTTGGTAACTGTCTGGTGCCCACCAAGACTTATAAAATCGACGAATTCAGGCCTCATTGAGATTCAGGGGCCCGCCTTCACTTAGGACGAGCACATGCTTGCTTATAGGGGCCGTGTGCGCGTACGCCGAGGGTTCAAATCCTCACACCAAACT